TTGACTTGTCGTTTGCTACAAATTTTTCATCTTCATCTTCTTTATCAGTTTTGTTGATAGATTTCCGCTTAAACGGAAGTTGATTTTCGCAATTTTCAAGATTGGCTCTGTCATCGAAATTGCGAATTCATGTCAATATTTGTGTGCGAGATTGCCACTACTCTATTTACCGTTTTCTTCTTAATGCTTTATGACTTAACCTGTTAGTTCGGCTGTATTGAATTTAGTGAACTTCCGAAGTTCTGCAGTTGGATATGTATACAAGAATTGTATGTGGAATTACCAGACTGGCTGAGGGCTTCATATCACAATGTATATTAATGCATTTAAGTTACAGTTTATTATGCATTTTTACTGTTCCAAAAGATTATATTTTTTCCACTAGTAATTTAAACAAATGGGCAACACCCATGTTAAGGCTGGCAGTCTTTAAAAAATGGGCGGAAGCATTGTCAAATATGAGCACATGGTTCACTCATAACGTGGTTTTACACATACGTAGATGCACTGTCATCTGGTGTTGGTGGAAGAATCCACAACAATTTTCAGCAAGCTTATTCCTCTCTACTACTATTTACAAATAAAATAGTTTTACATACAAGAACTTGATCTCAGTCGATCAGTTTGTAAAAAGCTGTACGGTATAGTTATCCGATATTGTCTTTCCTGACAAACAAGCAGTTTCTTGGGGAGAAAAGGCCGTGTGTAAAATTGCATATCTCAAAAACGGAGGGACTAGTTTGCGTATATACAGACATACGTACAGGCAGATGGACATGGCTAAATCTACTCAACTCGTCACACTGATTCTGTATATATATGGACATTCTAAGGTTTCGTTCTAGGTATTACAAACTACGTGGCAAATTTAACTGATCCTGTTCAGGGTATAAAATATTTCGTCTTCTCTATTTTCTTTTGGAATATAACTTCCGGGATTCCAAAAAATAAAGAAAAAGAGTTTTATTCAGCTAAAACCATGCCAACAAAATGATACCTTGCGAAGTTGTCTAAATTTGACAATTCTTTATACAAAAACAAGGGATTATAGGAACACATAACACAACGTCCGGTGTGTTTTACGTGAGTACCTGCCGGCGACGGCCTTACCTCACGGTGCTCCAAAGCACAACGTATCAAAACAATGCGTTGATAAGCGCCCCAAATAATACGAGCTATTTGCAAGTATTAATTTGGTTACCAGTGGCCAGTGTGTAGGGGCACACTGACCATCTTGGTAAGATTCGAGGCCGACCTAAAACCTCTTCCGTTTTCGGGTACGGCACCCAGTTACTTGTGCAACTTTATTTTTTGAACTGAAAATTCAGTCCTTCCAGCATTTAGGTTTAAACCACAGCCACCACGATACTCCCCAAAGAGCCGAACCCACTGAGCAGATTGAACCAAAGTCCAAGGGCATTCTGCTCCCCGTGGTACCAGAGTTGAGTCTCCGGTCAGACTGTGTAGCCGAAACTACTGCCAGTTGAGCTACCCATTACTCAATGACTGGTGACATTTGTCGCTTTAACTTCAAATGTCTTTTTATTTGGGATTTCATTTAAAGTCTATAATATCAGTTCAAGCTGAGTATTATAGCACTATTTCTGTCATCATTTACTATGCTGATCATTCTGGGCAAAATAAATTAACAGTCATAGTGCATTTGGCTTTTAGTCGCCTTTTACGACAGGCATTCCATACCGCGGGTAAATTCTTGCCCCTACCCGCAGGGGGATAACACATAACACAGCAAAAATTGCGATTGGCTACTCAATTGCCAATGATCATTAGCCAGTTGCCATGAATACTGCAAATTTTGTACGCCGTTACCCAGTGACTTCTATATTGGCGCTGTTGCCATAAATAATAGGGGTAATTTTTTATTGCATTATTTTTGTGTTGTCGGGTTCCTCTACAGACCGTAGGGAAAAGGGTAAAGTTATTTATTTTTTAAGCTTGTGAGGAAACCTTCACCGAAATGTGTCTTACACCTTAGTTGCATTGTGTATAAGCAATGATCTCACTTACTTTAACTTAGAAAACTGCCGTCAAAGACACTCTTATACACACAAACTCACATACTTACAAACTCATGACCACAAAGTGCAGAAAACAAACATATTTCTCTGCTATTTAAACTAAAATTATTTTACAACAACTTCGCTGTCATTTGCAAAATTTTCTTTTCACTCGTGTTTGTGCACTAAACAGCGCAAAGAAGTAGGGCGGGGAGTGGCTCGAGTATGACTCGGCGATGCGGTGTGACCTTTTCACTTCCGTGCGCTCGCTGCGCTGCCGCAATGTAAATTTAATTTCCGCCAGCGCTGCACAGAGTTTGATTTTTATTTTTTTAATCTTTTTTTCTGGAATTTTAGTAAGACGACTTGTGCTTTGCTGCGCTATGAATTATTGAAAGAGAAAACTCTTGCAACTGACACTTGTGGCATTAGTTTGAGTGGCTGTTAGCGACAACAAGACTTGGTTCAACTGCCAGTTAAGGTGGCTGAAAGACACGCTTTCTTGCTGCTAAGTCGCTATTTTACGCGCTTAATATGATTTCTATGGCTGCTGATACGTCTAAAATTAGACCTTGTAGTTGGTATAGTTTGAAGATTTCAGTATTAAAACATATATTTTTTGTTGTAATAATTAAAAGTTTTGCACATTCATCTAATTGTAAAATTCACTCGTTCTCGCTGTCTGTGCGTGTTTGTGGCTATTCAACCGAATTAGCTTTGTTCCTGTTTGTGTGCGGCGCACCTCTTTGCAGCTGCGCCTGAGGTTAGCATCTCCGTTGTGTTGCTGCCATTAGCTACGGAAATTCTCTCTAGGTAAATTTAATTGAAAATTTCGAGCGGAAACTAAATTGAAAAGTTTCCCTTTTACTATTGGCTGCACCCGAACACAAACATACGTGCTTGAAGCTGCCTTTCTGCGTTGATTTCGTTGAATACTTTCGCCCACAACTGCCACTGACTTTCGCTAGCATTTGTTTGTCGTTCCAGCGCCCCAAAAACTAAAAAATTTAATTATTTGCAAAACTTAAAAATCCAGAACATATTTTATTGTTTTTGTAATTGTGAGCGTTTGCTTTTCCATTAATTAGAACTTATTTTCAGTTTTTCAAACAATGAGAATTATTTGTGTTCACATCGCTATAAATAGATATACTATAGGGTGATGCATTTCGATATTCCCTACTTTTTTAAAGAAAAAAATACATTCTTTGGCATTTATTTTTTGAAGATTATCTCTTTTAAATGTTGGCCGCGGCTACGTTTCAGATGGTACACCCATTGAGTCTAGTTTTTGATGACTCGTTCGAGCACTTCGACTGGTAACTGGCGAATGACACGCGTGCTGTTTTGCATTAAGGCCTGAATCGAAGTGGGATTGTCCGCATAGACTTTAGACTATACATATCCCAAAAAACCTGAAACTACTAACAACACACAACAAACAGATACTTATCTGCTCACCGAAGTGTTCTCTCAATAAATCCATTGATTGATACCATGTGTGAAAAGTAGAGATAACGACTTTCAATTTCAGGCATTAAATAATCGGTTATTATTGCCCGTAACGGTCGCCATTGACGGTTACGTTCTCACCGGCATCAATTTTAAAAAAATATGGACCGATGATTCCACCGGCCCACAAACCACACCAAACCGGTGCTTTTTCTGGATGAAATGGCAGCTCTTGAATGTCTTCAGGTTGCTCTTCGTCAAAAATGCAGCAATTTTGCTCGATTACATACCCATTGAGCCAGAAATGGGCTTCATCGCTGAACAAAATTTGGCTCGAAAACTTTGGATCTTCTTGAAACTTTTCAAGAGCTCATAGAGCGAAGCAATGTCGCTTAGAAAGGTCGGGCGGCTTCAGTTCTTGCATAAGCTGTATTTTTTACTCTTTCAATTTAAGATTTCGACGTAAAATGCACCAAGTCTCAGCTACGGCCACTATATTTTTTTCCCTGCGTGCTAGACCTGGTCTATTCGGACGAGTATTATTCCAAAATGAATGCTGGGTCTCAAGATGGGTGATGGTTTTGCGAATAGTACTAGTGAGCGTACCGATTATTTTGACCATAAGTTGAGCGAAGCGCGCGAAACTCATTCTTATTTACAGAATGAGAATTTTCGTAATTAAGGTGAACGCGTTGAAAACGTTGTTCAGGCGTAAGCATTTCCATTATAAAATGCCAATCAATACTAAACAAGAAATAACATGACAGCTTGATACGGCTTATGCGTAATCTGTTCAAAAAAGTACCTTGACTTGGATTACCCGTTAGTTTGACCAAGTGCAATCCACTGTAAATATCCTCTGAGATTTCCTCTAAGCATGAAAACAAAGTTTAGAATTAGGGTTATCCACCTCAGTTAAGGAGCACACATTTTTGGTGATTTGAACCTGGAATTTCTTCAGCATTACAGATAAAGTTGAACCCTCAGACCTCAAATCACTTCTTTGGTGACATTAATGAAGGATTTTTAATAGATATAATTAATGCCTATCGGAACTGGATATCTCCTGGAAAGTAAAATTATTTGAAATTTAAAAGATACATTTTTTTTAAGTTAGAGGATTGAAACGTACCAGATAATAGGAAAACACACTGCCCTGTGCTCCATTGTACAGAAATTTTTTATAAAAATTACCTTATACAAGTAGTAAAGTTTTTACACTAGAAATGAATATTCCTAATTAAAAAAGAGAGATAGTTTACTTTTACATATTTATAAATGAACCGTCATTATTATTATGTAAGCTTAATTGCTATAACTATTTAAATAGGGTTACTTAATCATAATTATGAATTGCATAAAACTGTTTGATAACTCAACTTTCTACGAGAGCATTTTTAAGGAAAAGTGGACCCAGGGTTAATTTATAATTAAACACAAACATTTGGTTTGTAAATCCCTGTGTTCTCTTTTTGAACTACATAATTTTGCACCTATACTAATTTTGTAATTTTTTTTCTCTCATTACAGGTGAAGTGGAACGCCTTCTTAAAGAGTATCGTCAAAATCAGGAACTAGTACGCCGTATCGGCGGTCATTACTATCAGATCATTTATCCGGTGCAGCTGCGGCACCACGAAAAGATGGGCATATCAACGCGAGAAGTGAGCCCACCAAAGGTACGAACACGAAAACGTTTGCGTTACTTAGAAATGCGTAAGCGTAGAAAACGTAATATACGTACTTTAAACAATTTGACCGGAACGGTAGGTGCATTTAACATACTACAACCTACATTCATTCATACATCCATACATACATACTTGCGTACTTATCAATCATTCATACAAACCCTGTATACATACATGCAAACATACTACCGATTCGAAATTTTACTCATCTTATAACTTACACAACTGAAGTTCTAATCTTAGTCTAAGTTTTGCTCATAGCTCTTCATTTTTGAGCGCTCAATTGTTTGTTTTTTTTTTTTGCAAATTTCTCTGTTATTATTTATAACCTTCTTGTGCAGTAGGAAGATCTTTTCGCCATTTTCTCCCAACAATTTTTCGACAAACCCATTTAACTCTTAGAATTTGGACGGGCAGTATATATACCTTCATTTCGTTTACTTTTTGCCTTTGCAAAAGGGTTTTCCAGAGTTCTAACAAACAGTTTCAATATAGTGAATCCAAGCATTTTAAGCTGTACGATTATATTTGCTTTTCAAGATCTTCTTCTTAAACTTCGAGGACTCTGCTGTTTTAATCCCACCCTTGGTACCATGCCTTAAATACAATTTTCGAAAAAAATTCAGGAATTTTACGTGTTTTTGTTTGATTTCAGATATTATTTTTCCGAGTTGTTTGTGCTGACGATGGGAATTAACGAACTATATAAGGATTGAATAACTTCAACAAACCCTCTAATTCGTCAAATCTATTCGTCGTAAATTTAGAAATCATCTTCTAAGTTTTATGAGTAATATCCTAACATATATATGAGTATATCAGGAAAGACAAACCATACAATACATTACCTCTAGGACACTAATTTCTGATCATTAATAAACTCTGGAAATTAATCAAAATATTAGACGATACTAAGAATAATATACGAGTAACTTTCATATATCAGTATTTCTTGAGTATGATACCAGTATCATTAGCTCTACATTACTTACCTCTTATACTGAATCACTCTTCGGCTGAGTTTGTTATTCTGATGTTTAGGGTAATTGCACGTTTTGACCTCTTCTTATGTTATTAATAAGAGCCGCGTTATTTTTTAAGCGAGTTACAAAAGAACATTCAATGAGATGTTATTTAGGTGAGAGTTACAGCCAATTCTTTTGAGGTTTCAAAAATTTACTCTTAAAGCTGGATCAAAACACTCTTACTTCAACAGAGCTCCTTGATCTCATCAGAATCTTCTGGTCCAATCGATTTAGTCTCGCAAAGGCGGCACCATCAAGAAAGAAATGCTGAGGTGATTAAACGTCTTCTTCCAAGTGCTTGCTGTGTAACATCTTTCAACATTTTGAATACCACAATGCGATTAAATATGAATAAGAAATATTGTAATGTAATTTATATAATTTTCGACAGTCATTCCTTAACACCGAGTCATTCATTTTATATAAAAATTTTCAACACTGCAACACTGACATTAGAAAAAAGATCATAAAATCATGAAAGATATAACATGAAAGTGAAAAATATAGGGCTAAACCAAATATACATATTTTTTATATGTAATACGGAGAAATATGATTCAGCAATATATAATAACGAAGCTTTCAAAAACGAGTGTTATCAAAATATATTATCTTTCAAGATATGTTCTCGTCTATAACGATATTTTTGAAAATAATTTTTTAATTCTGTCAAACTTTATTAGTTCTCTGCCACAACCACATACGCAGTTCTTCAATCATCGTCATTATAATCAAAATACTGTAAATACTGAAATTTATTTAACACTCCAGTTAACTCGATAACTATAATATTTTATGTGCAAATTGCAAAGTTTTCAAAACAACGTAATGCCGAAATAATTTTATTTTTAATTTTTCAACTATTTTGCATAAATTTGATGTAAAGCATAAATCGGGTTTCGTTGTTTTTGAAACAGTAACCAATTTCATTTGGTATTCGGCACGCATTTCGAATTCAAATTAACTTAATGTCGGAAATATTTTCTCTCATGTAAATAACATGCAGACAGCAAACGACAGACGCACGAGCCAATAACGGCCAATTACAACTCGACAGGCGAATAAACGCGTTAAGCAACCTACCTGATTACATACATTTAAAACAAAATAAAATGCTACAAATAATCGCAAAATGTTAGTTCTTCCTGAAATTTTCGCTCTTCGAAAAATTTTCAATTCATTTTGCTATTGCCGAACGCTTGCTTTGTCGGCATATTTCATGATTTAGTCGTAACAATAACAGCAACAAAATGTTTGTGGATTTGTATGAATAGCCAACAAGCGCCGGAGTGCTGCCGTTGTCTCCCCACCCGCAAGTTGCATGATTTAGCAGGGTAATTAATAATCTCCTGGGACAGGCTCAATCACAACTCGTGGCTTATTGAGAGTGAGGTAAATGTGATTTACTTTTGCAGCAATTACCCAAATGAGTAGGAATATTGATAAGGTAGCGTGGATTTGCCGATTTGCCTTGACGTTGGCGTTAGCGTGGCGACGAGGGCCTTGTCTTAATGGGCTCTTTAATTGTTTAAGCAAAAATTGCATTTGTGAAAAAGCAATTTGCATACCATGAAATAACTGTATATGCGTAAAACGAAGATGGCGACATAACATGTTTTAATGTTATTTAATTTGCGTGAGGATAAAGGACACTTAGAGCTTATTCAAAATGAATTTGCGAATGTTTGAATTTTCTTGCGCATTCAATGTAAGAGTGAGGAAATATTCTTAGGGCGTTGTAAAGAATAAAAAAAGAATTAAAAATTTAATTTTACCAAATTTAATTTTAAAAGTAATAGAATTTAGGAAACTATTAAAAACATCTTTAGCATTTAAAAATTAAAACATATTATATACAAAATGAAAACAAGTAAGGAAGGCATTACTCAGGTATGCTTGGGAACGTATTTTCAAGCAATATTATATTCATATACATATATAATATAATTCACACATTAAACGATATATTCGGCAATTTGTTAGAAAAACGAACTAATAACTATTGTAGTATATGGGGTAGTATCGACTCGATTTTATCTATTTTTATTTTATCGATATGGCATTGTCCGGATGAACATAACTACCCCGTTATTAGACAAAAATGACCGCTTCTGAGCAATTGGTTCTTTCAGACGATCAAATTTTCGATAGCAGAGGTCCGAAGTAAGAGCTCTGCCTCTGAAGAACTCCTCATATATTATTATAACCATCTTTAAGCTTGTAAAAACTTCCTAAAACTTTATTGCTCTAACAATATTTAAGCGAACATGTTTTATTAAATGTTTTTCTCTCTCATTCTCTTCAACAACTTATAATGGAACGAAATCTATCAAATTAGTCCGTATTATAAATACCGTCAAGTGTATAAGAATCTTGCTAAACTTAAAAGCAAACTAATATACTTTAGTATTTGCTCTGGCTCTCAACGCTAGCAATATAGTTAAACAGCGCACAGCCAACAACCATTATAACGCGTGCAAACTCTCGATTAATCTGTGTCAGCCATTTGTTAAAGCTCGGCTAAACATAGCTAATACACTTAAGTTAGCCATTAATTAATACAAAGTCGGATATGCCTCGCAATGCCAAAGTGCCATCAGCGTCGAGTAGCAATGTACGAGCAAATGTAGATATGTGCGATTCCAAACACAGACTAATATATATGCACACAAACATATATCAGCGATACATTGGTCGTGCATTAGTCCTAGAAAATCCTAAACGTTGATTGCAGTGAAGTACGTGCTGTGGCATTTAAAATTGGTGAAAGATATGTGATTTAAGTGTATTTGTACAAGTGTGTAAGGTGGGCATACACATTAAGGTGGGCAAATTAGTAAATAAAAATTGTGATTGAAATTAGAAAACTATTATTTATTAATCTTTCTTTTAATCAAAACTAGTTTGTTTTAAGAAAAAACAAAACAAAAAAACATTCACTTCGGCCGCAACCAAAATACTCCAAAACTCTACTGCAACCAAAATGCTCATTTAGTATTCTAGTGGAGACTGATTTCATGATTTCTGTTTCAGGTGATTTCGAAGTTGTTAGAAGGTTTCTTTGCTGTTATATTATCGTTTTAAGAAAACCCACATTTTTAGTAAAAATTAAATTTTTCATTCAAAATAGTTGCGAATATAGTCGATTGGTATTAATCTTTCAACTTTTCGATACGATTTGTTAGCATGGTTGATCTTTTGCTCCAAAATAAGCATCAATCACGTCTTACGTTTTCTGAAGTTGCTAAATTTCTTCCAATCTGGTACTATTCCGTCTTCTGTATTTTCTTGTTTTCTTCCATCAGAAGTTTAATGACTCGATGTATCATTACTGTTATCAGAAAAGTAATAATCTTCATTCACACTAAGATCATCCAAAAAGTGGAAGAAGAGTCTTAAATATTTTTAGAAACAAATGCTTAGGCCAACCTTAAGGTGCCTACCTACGAGCCGATACTAATGTGCACTTATTTCGAAATTTGCAACTTGACTGGCCTACTTCGCCGTTGCTCCCAGGCATGTCTCTTCATTAGAGCGCAGAGATCACACGACACATCTCTTTTCTCAGCGCATATAAATGTCAGTGTTAACCGCGAGAAGTAGTGGTAGCTTGATAAGCATCTATTTTCGTATAGAAACACATATACTTTAACATTTACGGCTTCATTAAATAATAGAGCACGTACTAACAATTTAAATTTTTAATTTAATGGCCGGACACAGAGCGACTTGAAGGCAGTTGTGATATATGAAGTATATACATTCATATCAAGTGGATGAACATATATCCTGGCGCTTTTTTATTGCAATGCTCGTTCTTAAACTAAATCCCAACTCATGTTGAATTATCCGCAAGAAATCTATGATATTTATTTGATTTATTGTTTCCAAATACGGGGAGCGAGTAGCTAAAAGCGCGAGGACTCGCTCGAGGAGAACTATGAAAGTAAAAGTGGGTAATAAACGCAATGAGGATGAAATTATTATTGATCAATTGGCAACAAATGTGTGTCGCATTAAAAATAATTTACTACTAATGAAGTGACTGTTGCTGCTGCAGCTGATCCATTTTACCACCGCTTGCCAGCAGTTGCCAACGGTTGAGCGATTGTGCCTCGCTTAGCGGTAATTCTGGATTTGCAGTACATACTATTGAGTTGGTTTTGCCATTTCATCAGTAAGGCGAAAAGAAAATATAGAAGGGGACAGTATTTGTACTTAAAAGGGCCCCATAAGTGTGATTGTTGTTGCTCGAAAGGAAAATGATTGATTGCAAATATACGAAAAAAGATGAATTCGCATTGCATACCCACCTACATCAAAATTTTGTACAAAATACTTAAAATAAAAAATACTCGAGAAAATAGCCCACAGCAAGACGGCAATAAAAAGGGGGAGAAGAGAAAGCTTTCATACACATTAGGATCAAAAGCAAAACAGTACCAAATTTGTGGCATTTATTGACATTGAGGGCGGTCATACACTTTGATTTATGGCGAGAAATCAGCGCTGGGTCCGTTAAGCATTGTCCACAGCCAAACGTACGGCTGCACCAACCTCCGTCACAGTGCCAAAGCAACCCCTGATTTTTCGATATACCTGCACACGCCCGTGATGTGAGTTTTTGTCTTTATTTGTGTTAGTTACACACAAAGCGCACCGCGAAAATTTCGACTTTACGTCGCTTCAACGCCATCCACCGCGTTGTAAATCATCGAAAAACAAGGCTTTCTCAATATAAAACACACACCAACGCCAATCGAAGAAATATATCTGCAATGTGTGAAGAACAAAAATAAAATCCAAAGGCAGCAGGCGCTCTTTAGATTTATTGAAAGTAAAAAAAAATCGATTGAGTTGGTTTTTGCGCCCACCGCCATCGGCATTCGCCGGAAATGCATGCAAGGCGTTCAACTATGCCCAGCGGCGGTAAAGGGGCCAATAGTTAACAACTAGCAAGCAATATTATTTTTCAGTGTGTTTAAAAGACTACAGCATAATATAAGATGTGGTGTTCATACATACATATGTATATACATATATGTTTGATAGTCATCAGCGAAGCCATTTTTCTTGATAATAATGACTAGTAACAGTACCGATTTTTTCTTCAAAGCAAACGATCCATTTCGAAGTAGACATTATTTGAAATTCTATTTGAAACGTTCTTCTGCAGCTGACCCTGATCTGAAATAAGCTTCATTGATGGTAATGAAAAAATAAATTGAAAGAAGTTGAAAATAGAAACGTCTCATTTAAAATTACGTCTCATAACATGACATCGATTCGATGAATCGAAAAAGCGAAGAACCGTTTATAGAATGAAAGTTTATTTGGGTTAAACCATTTGCTTTAGTGGCCACTTACTCTGCTTGCTCATTTTGGACCCTGCGATTTCGATTCGCCACTTATTATCTTATTGGGCTTGTTCTTGCTGTCCCTGTCTTGTTAATAACGACAATTTTTTGATTGATTATCCTATTTTATGTTATTTAAACTCATTGCTTAAGCAATCCCTGATTTTTTTTATCGATATAGGGTTTTCAGGCTCTGCTATCATAACAATTTAAATTCTACCTTTTACTACTAAATTATTTATTTATTGCATAAATATAAAAATGTTGCCCATTGTAAACAAAATGTAGACCATGCTGCTTACATATAAATGTAGAGTCGAGAGCACAAATCACTTTATTTATTTTTACATTTTATTTTATAAAAAGTCAATTATTTGATTATATTAAAATTGGTTCTTATTTTGTAAAATGAATAAAATGATTACTATGTCAACTGAAGCGCGCGGGTGTTGGCTCAATAATATTCTCTCAACACTGTAAATTTACTGATGTGGAGTACCAAGAATCGACTGACGCCATTTCGTTGAACAAAGAGTCGTATTTTCACAGGATCGCATTTTAACAGTGTTGAATTTTTTAGTGACAAATTCCCGACCCTGTGGATGTTATTGATGCCACAATAATATGTATATTTAATTTTCTATTTTACCTGACCAGTTTCCAATCGCGTTCTAACGCACCTCTGTACTATTAATTATATACAAGTATATACTTGTAGCTTTCGTTTTCGTTATGCCAAGTTTTTTCAATATTTCATTGTTTATATAATTTTCACAAACTTTATGGACATTCCATGACTAAGGCACACCACAACAATACAAAAGTCCCATCAATTAAAAGCAAAGTATGGCAAACAATAAAGCGGTATTCAACGGCCGCGCCAATCTGACAATGAAATCAAATTCATTTTTCACACGTAATTTTTTGCGCAACAATTTTATTTGCATACAAATACGAATACACACATATAAACATACATACATAAGTAGAAATAAATATTTTGCGTTATTTCAGCTGTAACGAATGATATTGAAAATAGAGTAATTAAGGCATCGAATTGAAATCAAGTTGCTCCTTTTGTGGATAACTATTTTCCAAAAAATTTTCGGCAAATTTTTTATCGTAAAACGTGCGAACATTATGCGCCAATGCATTTTTCAACAAATAATCGAATATTTTGCAGTGATATTAATAAATAAAACTGCATATATTTTGGGTGAAAATTGTCAAAGTTGTCTTTTAACAAATGAACATATAACCAAATATATATAAATTTATGCAGCAAATGCATTAATGAAAGAATTATTTACAAGGGTGCGATATTTTGTATTCAATTTGAGCGCAAGAGCAGAAATAATATAGTTGAAAAGTGTATGCGAAAGCAGAATTTTTCGTCTGCTATATTTATTGCTAACATAGGTTCTGTCTTAAATTTGTTTTTTACCCTGCACAGTATTTTACGTAAGTCCATAACGGTATTGCTCTTTGAAACTATTGGCTTAGCCTTAGCTCTTAGCACGATCAATTTAGTCTATACCGTTCTATTTCTATTTTTTTTTCATAAGAAATAAGCACATATCATAACCTACATTTTCCTTCGTACGAACCTATTCTCCAGGAAATGTGTAATAGGGTTAATTCAAGAAAGAAGAGAGATTACATTTTTCTACTTTCCATACTAAAGTAAAACTCTATAAAATCTATTTTATTTATGCTTTTTTAAATTTTGGTAAATATGTGTCAAACAGTAGCAACTTTGCAAAAACAAATCAATTTTAACTTATGTATGACAACTTCGGTCTTATATCAGAAAAAAAACTATAAATTCTTCCAACAAAACATGCTAAAATTTTAAAACAAAAATAAAACTTATAATTCAATAAATTAACTAAAAAATAATTTCGCAGATTGCGATGGCTTGATATGTGTATCAAGTATGGTGTATCGATAAATTTTTAGATACTTAGTAGTTTGGATAATGTAATAATTTGGAAAAATGTTTACTTTTATAATAAAAACAACTTACAATCATAATAATTTTAATCAAGTGCGCAGATTTTAATGGAACAGAACTTGTAACGAGTATGCCATATCGATCGATTCTTCAATTTCACAAAAAAAACCATAATATTTCCAAAACTCTACCCTAGACGCATCCTTGAATGCACCACCACTGTGATTAAAAAAAAATTGATATGCTTTATTTGTCACCATTTGTGAGCGTTTAAAGCTGATTAAGCGACGTGAACAGTCAGCTTGTGCTGGGTTCGAGGCTTGATATCTCGTAAACCAACATATTTTCGATCAAGTCCTATATAGGACATGTTTTTAGTTTTGTCTAGATTTCAAATATGTAAAAAAATTGATTTTTCATACCGCGAAAATATAGTAGACGACCCCTTAAACTGTCAAAGCTTGGGCACACAGTGAGCTACGACGACCGAAATAACAGCCAAAAACCGACTTATCATTCATGATATATCATTACATTCGACGTTTCAAATTAATGCCGATCGCATGTGTATTTTAGTACAAAATGGATATGAAAATGGAATATTTCTTGTATATGAATATTATCGATATATGTATGTATGTATATTAATATTAGTAATTTTATCCATTTTTCTGCATGTTGTTCTAAATAAGTAGGACTGAGTTTTCAATACGTTCTTTAGAAACACTGAGTACTTACAGATTCCCCTTTTTTAGATATTGAATGAATAGCATAATTTATTTCAAGTCCAAAACCTTCCCTCGTAGGCTACCGGTCTCTCATTGTTAGCCAAATATTTATAATTTTTTATTGCCAAATACTTGCATAGACTGATATTTTTGTGAATCCCCTCTACCCCTTGTCATAAGTCATTAATTTCGCATTGCTGCTGTGTCATGACGGCTGAGCGTGCTGATTGGTCATTACATAAAATGTTACATACAGTATTTTACGCATGAATAACGGCAAAAAGTCGGTAAATGAAGGGAATTGGTATATTGAATATTTGTGATTTTTTTCTATACGCTATATAATATTTGGAAGTTGGACAAATGAAAATATTGACGGTTTTAACACATTCTTTATCTCTAGACTAACATACTACAACTATATAATATATGTATGTACATGTATAATACGCATAGTTTTTCTTAAATATACATTTTAATTGAACAATTCATCGTTATCTGACATTTTAATAAAATGTAATTTTTTTCTTTTTCTCTTTGCATGCAATCTCCTCTGCATTGTGTTCTCATTACAGCCGGGTCAGCGTCCACGACCCCATGAGGATGGTGGCTTCAGCAGAGGCAGAACAAAGGTGAGTACGCAGTCATTTTGGAAATTGTTTAAGCATCAGCTTTAAGCTTGAGTTTCGTTTAATTATGGCATATGCAGTTATTCTACATCTAACTATAATCTTGTTTGATTACATGAGTAATTACATAAATAATTACATGTGCCAGGGATATATTCATAACACTAGTACTTTTCTCATGTATGAGTGCGAATGCGTGATATATATTTTCTATAAACTTGCCCCTATCATCTGCATATGTATTGGCTCATCCACCAATGCCACCAATCATAGTCTTGCCTGCCTGACAGTTCATCAAATGAAATTTGAGCTTTCGGCTGTTCGCTTTTTCTTCCAGCAAATTAATTATTTTCTTGTCGTTTGCATTTGTTGTATCTTACATGCCAGCTAAGCCTCGAAGCTTTGGGCTTTGTATGGCCTCGCTTTGTGTGACAGCTAATCTGCAGAGTAGGGCATTAAATTAAGAAGCACAAATTCGCACACACGTGCATATACATGCTTACATGTGAATAATTTCATTAATCCGAGACGTGCATGTGTATATAAATATGTATTTATCTTTGCTGTGTCATGGAATCCCTGTTCTACTCCCCTTCTTTTATGCACTACCTTTTAATGCGTGTGTGTGTTTTTTCGAACAAAGCTGCCGCTTAATCACGCTGAGTACTTCCATTTTTCTCCTAGCATTTCTAAATCAGCTCTTTCATTTTCTCTTCACCTGTCAGTTAATGGCAACTCAGATGTCTTGTTAGGTGCCATCAAAAATTAATATATATACAAGTTTACTTAAGTACTCACACACACATATTTTATGTGCATGCTGTGAGTATTTAACACTTTATTTCAGCTTTCACGCCATAGCCATTAGTATTGATAAGCATTCGCTCTAACGCCTGTTCAATTTGAATGATAAAGAGATATGCTTATGTAGCTGTTAATATGCATACAAACTTTCACCTATTGCTTATATATGTGATTCGTACCAATTTTGCAAGTTAGCAAATTACACGTATTAAATAACATCATTAAACTCTAGTATTAATCCAGCATCATCACTTCGTATCATGTTAAGCTGCTTAACGTTTGGATTTTTACGACAATGTGCTATTAAATAGCAAATACTTTTTCATTTTGGAGTTATTAATTTAAGAAATTAATTCCATATGAACCAAAGTACTTGTGGTTTTTATTCAAACCTTTTAGTATCTTTTTCGTGGGTGTTGCACTTGCAAATGTTGCAAAACTTGTATATTTTTAGATATATTTAGTACAGGTTTTTTTTAATGGCAGTTACTTGGATAACAGTTACAATATTCTAAATTGCAATATCAAATGTATTTTGTGCATGACTATCACTTGTGGGGGAGAGTTTAAATCTAAAATATTTCAAACTTTGTTTTTAATAGCAAGGGTTCTGTGTAAGGCACTTTCACATAGTATACTCCGACCTTTCGAATGCAGCTTAAAATTTACAAAGAAATTTTATAAAGTTTTGAGATTAAGTAATACATTCAATTTGATCAGGACTGGAAAAATAAACATTTTCACAAATTTTAATACAAATCTTTACTATCGCCTTCAAAATAGGCTCCTGAGCCAACATGAAAAAATGCCAACGCTTATTTTAATTTTCCATACGTTTATTACACGACTCGGCTGGAATGGCCTTCAGTGCCTTCAGCGAGTTTCGGCTCATTTTTAGAGCGCTATATGATAGATTGTTGGACAGGGTAAATGTAGGGTCTCAGCAACGTCAATAATCACTTTTGAGATTTTTCCTCGACGGCTTTTTCCAAACGATGCAAGTCTTTCGGTATGACTTCAGCATTATCCCCAAAATATTAACTAAAATGTGTAGAGCCGTTCCATAAAAAATATTGGCATCCTTTGCTATCTCGTTGATGCTAACACGACGAGTTTCAACGTAATTAACAGAGCTGGAACAAGTTTTTTATAACTTCACGACCTTCACTCAATGCTTTGTGCCACTCGTTCGGAGACCACTTCCAAAGACAAGGACTTCTTATGCCTCGAAGTAAATTTTATTGTGAAAATAGAATGGTTCCCCACATTTATAATTTTTTTTTGTTTTGAACTCATTCGTGATTTCGAAATTCTGAGTGAAAGATTTGGATATTATCCCAAATGGGTTTCAACTTTTAAATTTGGATCAAAGGGATTACAACTATGGAAAGCTTTAATTTTCCAAATATATTCAGAAGGAGCCTGTTGTCAAAAAATTGACTGGTCGCGCAGTTCTTCCAGTTTGATATGCCCTAGTTTCTTTATGTGGGGTTATTTGAATATAAAGATTGTGAGCATACATTTTTGGAAATCATTCCCGAAATCACGTTTATACTGCGAAATATGTTCGAAAAAGTAATGAAAAGCTTCAAAAAAAAAGGTAAATTTGCTACAGTCGGCAAAGATAATAATTGTATTGCCTTTGTACTCAATTTTACTCACTTGAGTGTTTTTGTTTTAAAAAAGTTGCCAACATAAATTGTAATGCAATAAATTAATTGATATATCAAATATAAAATCCGGTGAATATTGGTTTTTATAATAATTCAATAATAATAATGCATGGGTCGAAAACCCTCATTGAAAAGTAAATGACTTTGTATACCACATGTGGGGGAGTAAGGTATATAATAGGGTAGTTCTTTTTCAGTTTCTTCATAACGGCGAATGAGCCCTACAGATTGAGAACTGGCACCAACACCAGCACTTTAATTCGGAGGTTACTCGTTGACTTTATATGCATTTAAATACAAATTGCTTATTACATTACGTTATACACATATGTACATACCCTCGTAATCACATCTATTGCATATACTTAAGCCCACACTCGAATCGCTTGCTATAGTTTCCAAGTTCCCTTTATCTTTACTAAATATTACGTAGTTCATCAAAAAGCCAGCGTGTTGTCCATTATGAAGTTGCGTTGAAAAGTTTAACTAACTAAATAACTTGCTATGAAACTTATGCCACAGAGAGGGGCCCATACTGTGAAGCAAATAAGCACATACTGAGACACACACATGTACATGTATATGCGACCATAAGCATGATTACACATGCAGGCAACAGCAATAACTTTTATATATTAGCTTAAAGTAATTACTCGAGCGTAAAAAGGAAGGTAAAAATATTTCTGAATGACTGAAAATAAAGCATGGAAGACAACTTGCTTATAAACTTCACTTCTGAAAGCTCCTTATGTATATCTGTATATACACGTGGCTAACTGTACCTGCCTCTACCTAGAAAAGCACGCTCCGTGTAGTATACATGTATGTAGATAAAATTATGAAATTATAACACACTTAATTATACAAGTGAGGAGTGCATAAAAAATTGTAAACAAGCTTCATTTTTAAAGCAACTTCAACACACATACACTTCCATACACACACGTGCTCGAATTTTACAAAAACAAATTATATATTATATATGCCTTTAACACATGAATAAGCTCGTAACACTGACGCACACGCAGAAGACTCGATAAAAACTGAGACAAAAATTATAAGTTTTGATGAGACTGTATAAATACACTCTAATATGGATAACGGTAAAACATAGATATAACATACATAATACATATATAAGTTGACACCACATTCGCATATAAATATTAATGTTTATGCGCGCACACATATCACTCATACACATACCAATACATATGTAAGTGACACAGTTAATTTTGTAATTGCGTGTGTTGAAGCGCCTTGAGGCAAGCTAAAATTGTTGCTGGCCAGGCGTGGAGGCAAAGTCATGAAGCTGGAGTTTCTATGCTTTTATCTTCTTGATTATCGCACATCCACAGAGCAACTGGCGACTTGACAAATACAGACTTAAACACTTGATACAATGAATGTCATATACATATATATATGTAAGTAAACACATATGCAATTCTACATACATATATCTATATATATTTAACTATTTACTATTGTACCATATATATATGCATACATGCTTGCCCACCTTATTTGCTCGCTCCTGAGTACTTGAAATTGAAGAATTGATGGCCACTAGTGAGGTAATGTAAAAGGCACATATGTATATGTTCATGAATAACTATCACCAGCCAGGCATAATCGCAAGGAAGCTTAGATTGTCTACACAACAACAACAACAACAACAATGACAGCAACAACAACGTGTTAAGTGGTCAAAGCTCTATTGTTGGCATACACAAGATGCTACAGCTTGAGATGTCTCGAATGGCTGCAACAGCCACAGCCACTGTTAGTTGAGTGTTTGTGGCTAGTATATTGTTGTTGTCGGAATGAGTGGTTAAAGTTAAGGATTGGCGTTTTTGAGTGAAGATATACCCATATATATATTGCAGTTTTCTTATTAAATTTTGCTTACTTACGGTCAGTTATAGTGAAAATGAACACATAGAAGAATGTTGTCAGCGCCTAGACCCACATTTATGTTCAATACTGCCACATTTTTCGACGAATTCCTGACAATCGGGGACTTTAGTTATAGTAAAAAGCGATAGCAGCTACGTAAACTGTAATAACTATATTAAAGAGAGGAGGGAAGAGAGATAAGAGGTTTCGAATAATTTGAGAATTATTAATATTTTATGTATAAATTTTACTTATTAATTTCTCGGTCTCTGAGAGCGTTAAATTAGGCAGGCCAGGATTTTTATATGTTTGAGTTATTTAAGGAATTTATTGGGAACCACAAACTATGATCCAAACGATTTTAGTCGTCATTTTTCATGTGTACTTTGGTTAGGATTTCTATATAAATGCATTTGAATCTTACAGTTATATAATTTTAGTAAAGTTGTATAGCTCCTTCATTGATGTAGTTAGTTTTTAAGGAGTTGACTTGCAGTCGTGCTATTAAAGTAATTTTAGTAATGGAAAAAAGTTTGCAAATATTGCATTAAAAAATAATTGAACTGACGCTTGAATTAATATTTTTTATAGCTTGCAATATCAAATTTAAAACTTAATTTTTAATCT